CACGTGTTTCTGAAACATATGCTAATAGTTTAATCTGAGTAAGTAATTTACATAAAATCTTCGTAACAGATTAGATCTTTATTTTTATTTTTTAAATGCCGAGTTTTACACAATTAAAGAAAAATTATTCGGGCAACGCACCCTCTACACCTCCGGTGGGTGTGAGGTAGGTCTACGGACTTATAATGCTAAAATCCAAGGTTCGATTCCCCGTGATGAACAAACGCAGATAGCCCATTGTGTATCATTGCGCTAAAACAAACAAAGAAAAAACCTACCCTCTATGACAGGAGCGCACAAAATCATTAATTACATTTAATTGATCTAGAAAATGTAACTGAAAACATTTATCGTAAAAAAAAAATATTCTAAGTTTTATTCAAGTATTTTCACGTTCAGACCAGATATATAATCTTATAACGTTTCAAATACAAAGTCACAGCATTTCATGGATCTATAGATAGATGCACAGCAAAGAAAATACGATTATGCGATTATATCTCAAAGTAAATTAGTGCAACAATTTCTTACCTTTTTGAGAGTTTTTTTTTCTTTCTGCATTATATCAAACATTTATTTTAGAAACCTTTCAGTTTACATAATTGTGGTGCGAGTTCTTGTGGTATATAATTGTGGATGTCTTTTCCGCTGACACTGTAAATCAAAATAATAATATCTTTATACGACATGTAATAAATTTAAATATATAAATTTCATATGCTATGTAATGCCTATGCAAACAAAATGTGATTTCTAGATGGGTTATTTGTGTGATATTACATGACAGTGAAACTGATAATCTGTAACAAACCTAACTTCACTCACTCTATACAGTTTCCCAGTAAAAGCGAATACACCTTGTTGTTGCATTTCGCTGTCGATGAGGCCTATCGTTAAACTATTGGATATCATAATTATACAAAACAACACTTCTACCTCGGGAAGTGGCTTGACAAAGTTGGCAAGTTAAGTTTTCATTGTTTTAATTTAAATGTTAGTTAGAAGGCGCAAGTAAGTTCATAAAAGTAGTCTTTTAACACCTTGAACGTTCTAGATGAAAATCTAGTAAGTTTGACGAATATCTAGAAATGAGACATCGGTTTTGAATAGGAGTTAGTAAAGTGAACATGTTAGTAAATGTTAAAGTAATGTATTCAACGTTTGAACTTCGAGTAGTTGTTGATCGAGTAAGCGTTTCTGTAAACTAATCAGGAAGTTAGTCAGCGTTTGTTATCAATCAAGAAGATTTCTGGTAAACGTTATTAGTGTATTAGGCCTACAGTAGACTCCGGGTTTGTGTTGAAAAGTTTAGTTTGTGAACTTAGGCCTATAAGTTAAATGTGCGTCAAAGTGAACATAGCCTGTAGGTTAGAGAAGAAATAAACTAATTTGTTATCGTTTCGTGGACTAGACCTGACCCTATTTTTTAATAATGTTAAAAGAACCAGCCCAACAAAAAACAACGTTACAACAATAGATTGAGAAAGCTTATAATAAGAGGTTTTCAAGTTAGGACCGATTGTTTAGTTAGTTTCATGTGGGGATCCAAATAGTTTTTCGTAAAACAATAAGATAATACATTAGGGTCTTCAGATTAGTGTTGCCGTAAGGATATGAAGTCAGAAAAAAGTAACGCAAAATGCTGTCATAAGACTGACGAAAAAAAAAAGTTTCAATTTTCAGTTCAGTATGAGAATTACCAATAACTTTTTGCGTGAAATTATGTTATCCGTTGATGAGCGAGGGTCCACGTCTGGGTTTCATTTCATTGCTTTAAAATTGAGTTCTTACAAACCCCCAACTACAGGGGTTTTAATTATCGAATACATCATTCCGCAACGTTATTTGTGATTGTATAGCACCAAATTAAATATTTGTGATATTTTTTACCACAAAATTGAATTTAAATGTCAAAAGCCGCACCGTCCCCATGAGTCATGCAATAATCGCGTTTAAGATTTCCAAAATGCTATTACAAAAATCAGCTAACCACGACAAGAATTCTTGATCTCATTCACGTACTGTCTTCTGTCATTAAAATGTGCTGTTAATTCATGTCGATTCCTTCTTTCCTCATGTTAATTTTACTTCGTATTTGGAAAATTCAAATATTGAATTAAAGAAAAGTCAAGGGTAGATTTCTAGATATTTATTATACCATTATTATATAGCTGTTGTAACGTTTTCTGTTGTTTAGCAGGTTCTTTTAGATTATTAGGTAGACAGAAGAATATCGTTTTATTTCTTCTATTTCAAGTTCTACAGGTTAGTTTGTTTTGTTTTTGCTAATTTTCTCGTACAGTACTTATCATTTTATCTTCCAAAAGACTAAAGATTCACAAAACTGAACTAATTGGCTGATAGTCATAAAGAGACTAATAAAAATTGCTTCTAATCAACTACTCTAACTCGTGTCTCATACTGCTCAAATATTTTTAAAACTCTCAGCAATGTTCTAGTTAAGTGTCCCCAGTAGCTATCTGTGCTCTGTCCTCCAACATATCCTACATCACAGTAAAATACCTCTTAGTCTTTCGTTGTTTAATTAAATTCGAAATTGTTACTTTTTTTGTGTGTGTTTTCCAATTTTGTCACTGGTATCTCTCGATTTGTTTATGCAAAACAAATGTCAAAAGACCAGTCATGTGAACTTACACACAAATTTCAGTTGTATTTAAGAATAAAAGAAACACAGTGTTTTCTCAGCATTCAGTTTCAATGGCAGCAGAGTGTGTAAAGAGATTCAGAGTAATCGTGAAGCATGCCAGGACTTCAACAAAGATACTTGCACGTTTACTTGATGTTGAGGTCAATAGGTTGATTAGATACTGGTTCTTCACAACCAGTCGTTGCAGAATGGCTATAAGTCTCACAAAACGTGGTTAGCAGAAGGTGGACTTGCTCTCAAACCAATGCAGTTGGGTGAAGACCTGGACAAAATAAACCAGTGTCTACAACCCTGCAAGGTGACTGCTGAAGAAACTTGCCGGACTCATCGTCCTAACTGAATCGATAGTTCAGAGAAGCTCTGGGCTTAACAACAAACAAACAAACACTGTTTGATATAGAATTGTTTGTTATGACTTTAGGTACTTGGGAAGTATAATCTAAAGTGAAAGAGGATGTGACAAAGCTGTGAGAGTTTGTTTGTTTTTAATTTCGCTCAAAGCTACACGAGGGCTATCTGTGCTAGCCATCCCTAATTTAGCAGTGAAAGACTAGAGGGAAGGTAGCTAGTCATCACCACCCACTGCCAACTCTTGGGCTACTCTTCTACCAACGAATAGTGGGATTGACCGTCACATTATAACGCCCCCACGGCTGTAAGGGCTAGCATGTTTGGTGGGATGGGGATTCGAACCCTGACCCTCAGATTGCGAGTCGAGCGCCCTAACCACCTGGCCATGCTGGGCCGTTTGATGTAGAAAGAAACTGAGATATGCATTATTTAGTAACAGTAATTACGTCTTTCATAATTAGAATATAGAAAACTATGATTATCCCTTAATTATTTTGGAGAGTGTACATGCTAGATGAAGTTTCGATTTTTTCATAATACTTCCTTTCTTTTAGAAACCTCAGTCACACTTTAGTCTTCACCTTACAGGATTGTCAAGCGTGTTCTGTAGATACTGTTGAGATTGTTTGTGTGTCTGTGTGTCACAAATGTAGTACTACTCAAGAGATTACTGATTGTGTTTACCCTAATATCTTGCTAGTAAATAGATATATATTTGCTGTTTTATCACAAGATCCTGAAAAAACTGGGTATTTTCTAGGTTAACCCTATATATTATTACTAGAAAATTTAAGTATTGTGTGAGTTAAACAATGTGCTATTGTTAAAAACCAATATTCTGCTACTGAAGAAACTAAATAGTGTATATGTGTTAACCATTGTTGTTTGACGTATGGGTTCAAAGGAGGAAGGATATTTACATTTTTCAATATTTTCTGAGGTCATGGTAGTAAGAAAGTTTTATAATGATTTCTGAAGTCCTGGTGCTATTGGAGATGTATAATGCGTGATGTCTTGATGCTGAAAGAGATGCCTGTATAATGACAAGTGTTTCTTGATGTCTTGATAGTAAGATACTTATGTATTGGCTGTTATTTTACGTGATTCTGAGTCCTGTTACTATGGGAATTGTTTGATGCCTGTTGTGTTCTGAAGCCCACTGCCTTAAGTATTATATATTCACCATTGTTTTTGAAGTTCTAGTACCGAAGGAGTTATATATTTACAAATTAGATCACAGACATCGGCAGAAGGCTATGATGATGACTTTGACCATCCTTTAATAGACCAATTTAAATGACGCCCAGTGATTGAAATAACTGCCTTGCTCTTTGAACCAATTTCAAATATCGTCTTGGAAGAACCCTTGTCTCTCAAGGAAGAAATGCAGCATTGTAGGGTGAACATTGTCGACAATAACGACCAGATACACTTTTGATGTTATCTGTGTCTACGAAGAAATTAAAAGACTCAACCTCGGCCGATAGACACTGATGACAAGAATCTTTGAAGAGTCAGTTAAATGATATACCTGTTAGACGGGCGCCGATTATCACACCCCTGCGTAGTTTGGAGAGAACCTTGCTCTTACCTATTTTCATGCAGTCTAACCATAATATACACTTCTAAGGCTCAAGCAATTACTTGACACATCACATTTTGCATCTGTAAATGAATGAAATGTTCAATCAGTATAACTGTTTTGGTTCTCAAAGAACCACACACTAAAAATATAAATAATATGTTTGAATAGTGTGTTGTATATTTAAATATTTATTGAGTTCAACGAGGTAATCATAAGTGAACATAACTGTTAAATACAAAAATTATTTTCCATGTCTTTACATATAACCATAATCTAATTTTTTTTTAAATGAATACAGTATAAGTATATCAATGATGATTTTATTTACCATAGTATGTAGATCAAAGTACATTTATCGAAAAAGATTATGTTATTAACTATTATGTTATTCTCCAGGTGACGCTATTCAACTGCGGGGGAGACCATTTCCTCAGCCTCGACCAACGCCGAGGAAGACTATATTAATAAAAGAAAGTGATGAAGATGGTAAGTGGACAATAAACACTGGAAACCTTGGTTATTTTGCTGAGAATGTTCTTAAAACCCATAAGTTTTCAGATTTAATATTACTCTTTATGCCTCTTAAACTACTTTGCCTGGTTGCCTGTAGTTACAGTAATACGGATACTATGGAAGCCATGTTAACAACATACCTATGTTGTCAGGGTATGTCGAAAAGTACACAAACAAATGCTACGTGGGCAGAATCAGATTAAGACCACAGTGGACTCATAAGCAACTTCAGTTCTATGGACCCCAGTTTCTCCCCAAAATCTCTTTATTTTTTTACTTAAATTTTACAAATCAGTACAATATATTTTACAAAAATATTACAGTTTCTAACTATAAAACGTATCTGAGAAGGCTATTAAAAATAACAACATTGTGGACTCATAGACGAATGTTGATCCTTCCTTTTGGTTAATCAGCTCCTGTTGTGAGGTGTTATGAATTAATATAGTTTGTTTGGAGAGAGATATGCCCATTGGGACGAAGTCTAAACTTAGAAAACTTTTACTACATCCAGTATTACATTTATTTCAAAAGGTCAAAGGTCACGCTATGTGGGATGTACAATAGTTTTCTTTATATAGGGCAGGTTTTAAACTTAGGAAACATTCATTACACCCAGTAATGCATTGATTTTAAAAGGTCAATGGTCACACTGTCTGGTATGTACAAGGGTTTCTTTTTCTATAGGGCAAGTCTAAACTTAGGAAACTTTCACTACATCCAGTACTAGGTGACTCTAACGTAGATGTAAAAGGGTTTTCTTTTAATATAACAAGGACAAATTTGTTTGGTTTATTTCTAGATGATATTTTTTTGTGGTGAGAAAAAGCTAAGTACTCTTTTTAAACTGTACCACTTTAGACATAATTGTAAAGCACCTTAGGGAAGACAACCAGACCACATACTGCGCCTTCGGTACTCGAATGTCTCGAAACCCCCTGAATGTAATATAAAGTATACTTAAGAACTAAATTATTTTCTCACTGCATATTCCAACATCGCTTAAATACATAAATAACTCAGCATGTAATAACTCTTATATAGATATTATATAGTCCAATTTAGGTAAACTGATCGACTCTAATTTTACATTTCTTCATAACACCACCGCCAGACCTGTCTTTGAAACAGTACCTGTTTGTAAATAAAACTTAATCTTACACAGCTGACGTTCTCTATTGCTTACACTTACGTAGTTTTTATGCTGTTCTTACAGTTTTAATGTTCACAGTTATGCATTCATAGAAACGATGCTTGAATAAACACGAACTTTCTAGATCAGACAGGGTCTGTACTGACATTAGCATTGGTCATCGAATACTTATGCTGTTTGAATATAGATCTTAAAGCAGTGGTTCTCAACCTTTTGTACTCGTGGACTCCGTCACGAACCAAGGCAATTTGGTTTGTGAAGGAGACCCCTCTCCCCTTATTCAGATCTGTTTGCAGAAGCTAATCCTATTATATATAAAATCAGCACTGGCATAAATAAGTTCGTAAATTATTGAAATTTTCGGATAAGACATTATTTCCGGTTAATCGAATATAGTATCGTTTTTTATTTTATTTTTTAAACTATAATATAGAAAACTCCATATTTACAATCGTTAACCCCTTTAGGTTGTTAACTAACCATAGGCTGAGATCCACGAAATGTGGACCACAAGATGAGATCCTCGGATTTGAACCACACGTTGAGAACCATGAACTGTGCACCACAGGTGGAGAACCACAGTACTAGGAGGATATGAGAATACAACCTACTTACTAAATATAACTACAAATTATGATTTTACTACTTACTCTGTTGACTATGAAAAATAGTACACATAACGCACGCCAGATGTCGCAAGACTTATGGTATAAACAGTATGGATCTATCTGTGATTGATAAATATATAATACTATTTCTTTGTGTTATTTCAATTGTTGTACAAAAGACCTATAATAATATAATTGCTTAGTAGGTCGCCCAAAAGCATAAAATTAAATGTTCAAAAAAAACATTAAAATCTAAGATAAACGACCATTTTGCTTTATTTTTTCCATTTATGGCTTAGGTGCAAAAAGATGAAAGTTTGATGTTTTCTTAATGTTGCATCTCAGGTTATAGTTGCTTTAACTCTCAAAATTTTAGTTACATACAAAATACTGGCGGCGTCTTATCTATATCAGTTTCTTATAATCTTCAGCTGTAGACTTCCTATCCTTGCATCTGTGGATAATGCTGGTTTTCTTCTTGCTTAGAGCGAGCGCGTGGTTAGCGTACCTGGACTGTGGATTTAATTGTTTGTGGTTTGAGTCCCTTTACCATAGAAAAAATTGCGTTCCGCGCATTGGTGGTTTGGGTGCGTTATAAGAGTGATCGTCAAATCCCATTATTCGATTAGAGTAGTTCATGAGTTGGCGGTGGAGTGTTTACTAGTTGCCTTCCCTCTTTTCTGTCACTTTGAAATTACGGACGGCTAGCGCAGATAGCGCTAGAGTAACTGTGCACGAAATTCCACAAACACACTAAGATCCTCTTAACGAAAAGGCCAGGGATGATCAGGTGGTTAGTACACTTGACTCGCATTCCGAGGGTCGCGTGTTTGAATCCTCGTCCCACCAAACACGCTCGCCCTTTCAGCCATGGGGGGCATTATAATGTGACAGTCAATACCACTATTCGTTGGTAAAAGTGTAACCCAAGAGTTGGCGGTAGATGGGGGTGACTAGCTGTTTTCACTATAGTCTTTCACTGCTAAATTAGGGACGGCTAGCGCAGATAGCCCTAGTGTAGCTTTGCGGGAAATTAAAACCAAACCCAACTTTCCGAAAAGCTTAACTTCAAATAAACGTTCAGCAAGAGTTAGTTCTGCTTTGATATCCTTATGACAGAATGATTGTACACGTAATAACCATAAAAAGTTACGTAACCCTTAAATTTGCAATGAACTGTGTTCACGCTTTTATTTATGTTTTGTATGTGTGTGTGAATAAGCCTACATTACTGTTACTTTTTTATTTAGGTTTAGTGCATTTGCTTATATGTATACTGTCAAAAAGAATCTAACAATATTATGAACTTAAAGAAACATTTCTCTATAGTACACGTTTTTAAATGTTCGTAAAAATAGAGAACGTGTTTAGTCGAACTATTGTTTACTCACACTAAACATGCGAACACTCACAACACATTTAATTACCGTGACCAAATGCACACGAGAAAATTAGAAAATGAACATCAAATTTTACTGCATCAAAATCTGTTATCATAGCTTTAGTGTTTTTTTGTAAAGTGATGACAGCAAGGCCAAAGATGGTTTTGGAACATGTACATTTTTTGTAAATTGGGGTGGTGGATTAAAGTCACAATATGCTTTTAAAACCAATTTTTGTGCTTGGACTCTGAAGAAGCTTTATTTGTCTTAATTGAAACAACGTCCGACTTAAAATAATGAAGAGCAAAATTAACCGTTTCAAGTTTATTGTGAAACTCCACGTGTTCATACTTCGTTAGTATAAAAGTATACACAGCTGCTGTACGTTTATCCTTCAGAACTAAGTAAAGGATTGGATTTTAATAAAACACGCCGTATTACCTAAACACTCCAGGAGTAAACAATTTTACTTAATCCCGCCAGGAGTTTTTACCCAAACCCTCTAGGAGAGAATAGTTTTACCCAAACCCTCCAAGTGTGAACAGTTTTACCCAAACTCTCCAGGAGAGAATAGTTTTACCCAAACTCTCCAGGAGAGAATAGTTTTACCCAAACCCTCCAAGAGTGAACAGTTTTACCCAAACCCTCCAGGAGAGAATAGTTTTACCTAAACCCTCCAGGAGAGAATAGTTTTACCTAAACCCTCCAAGAATGAACGGTTTTACTAAACCCTCCAAGAATGAACAGTTTTAGCTAGCCCCAGTGGCAGCAAAGATAAAATAATTATATAACAGAGCAAT